GACAACATATGTTTTAACGGGATACGCATGAACTAATTTGTGTCCTTGTGATTTACAATCGGAGGCAATCACTGGCTTCAAATGATCAATTGAAAGCAGAGAGTGAACTGACATTGTGGAAAGAAAATGACAAAAAAGAAGATATTGTAAAGGAATGAAAGCAAAGGCGAAGGATTTTCTCGCCAGGGAATTTTAAANAATTTTAAAAATTAGTCCAAATCCTGGAAATCCCATAATGAAAGTCGAATTAACCTTTCTGACCAGATGGATGCGAGGCTGACCAAATAAATCTTACCAAAACCCCAAGATACGGTTTTTTTCTAAAAAGGCGAGAATAACAAAACGAAAATAATCTTTGAATAAGTGTACGATGGTATAATGAACTTTCAGTGAGGTGGTTGTGGCAAACGAGGGATTCTTTTTTTGGGGGGGGCATACATACCTGGCAAAGATTGGCTGCGGAGGTGGTAGGATTCGAACCCAAGACCTCCAAATTGGCGTATTCATGATATGAACCGTTTGGTCATCACCGCCGCCGAAACGTCGGTGGCTTCCTCAGAATGTTAAGTGAGGCTTGACGGCGACAGTAAGTACGTAACTCGTATTTGATTTTAACTGCTACTGTGATTCAAAAAAGTCCAGAAAGAAACCGTTTAACTGACCTCCATTCTTTATTCTCCAAAATGTGCTATAAGATTCACTTCACAGAATCGGTTTGCTTTGCTGGGTTAAGCTAGAATGGAAAAGAATACGTTCAACATCAGTTGCTGGAGCAAAACTGTGGGGAGCGTAGCTGGGGCTGTTTGCTCCCATCTGCTACGTCGAATTGCCTGTCGGTATCAACATCTTAAGATAATTTTAGCAGGCACCTCAGAGTAAATAATAATGACATTTTTTACATTCAGCTTCTGCCAGTCTACGATAAAGCAATATACACAAGATGTTCGCAGAAATCTTAAACACAAATACAAGTGATGGGGGTATTTATTCTATAAAGTTTGTTTACATATCGTTCTGCCTAATTTGAGGTATTGTTAGTTAAGTGCTAACTTTGATTTCTCAGATGTGAACGCAGAACCTCAACAGGCACGTCTGAGCGAGATTCATTTTGTTCCTAATAGTGTTGGATAAGAAAACAGCATGATTCCATTCAAACCTTTTCATCTTGAACCCGTTATCAAGTAAATCGATTGGCTGTCATCTGTGATGTACGAAGCCCCACTTCCCTGTCGCATGATACAAAACGGTGCCTAGCTTTAGAGGTTTTATGTCCGTAACTGAATACCTGATTACTCTTGTGTGTCAGTTGCCAAACACTAGAGTGTGTGAAAATATAATGGAATACATAAAATTATGCGAAAAATTGTATGCAAGAGAGAGTATAGAATCCATTTCTCCCACTGAAAACTAATTCCGCTTCCTGCCTTCGTGCTCCGATAGGCATCATACTGAAAGGTGATCGGCATCAGCTTTTACGTGTTGCCATCGTTCAAGCTGGATGGGCTGACGATACACGTGCGACGGGACAGTGGCAATCAGACAGCATATTCATTGCCGGTTTGGACATTTTGAATGCACCGGATACGGTATTACAAGACGTCAGTGTGGCTGGTGCTCGACAAATCGGATTAATTACTGTAGGATTTGCTTGTACAGAAGATGTGGGTCGATACTGGTATGTTTGTGCGTATGAGTTGCAGCTGTTTATTTCCAAATACCAAGGAACGTTATGCAATGTATATATTTATTTATTTATTTTACAATAAATAGTTTATGAATGACTGGACGGAACTTCCCTTGAAACATACAAGTGGTTTCGCGGTTCTTGCCGCTCGTCAGGCATGAGTATTCGGTAATCTTTTGTAAGTTCATTAATACACTTGTACACAGGAAGTATACTTTCGTCACAACAACAAACATTGTGACGAGCTACGACAGAGCTGTCTATCTTTTAGTTCCTCGCTAGTTGAATGCATTTATAAGTGACGGAAGGATTTGTGAGGACCAACAAGGAATACCGGGACAGCAGTCTGGTCCTGCGTGAGATTCGTCAGCAGTGCGTGCATTTTTTGTGTGTCCCCGTCAGGACTCGAACCGCGAACGGTCGGGTTGGGACTTCAAACCCTTAACCTTGAGCTGCACGAACGACAGTCATCACCTTGTGTGAATGGTTCAATCAATCTGGAGTATCAATTTCGGTCCGGAATGTTCCCCGTTCGGGTCCTGACAGGGACAGGAATAGTACGCACTGCTGATGAGTCCCAAGCAGGACGAAACAGCTCTCCAGTGCTCTTTATCAGTTATCACAAATATATCCATCACAATGAAATACATTTGACTAGTGTGGAACTAACGATCTCCAATGGAGTGAAACCCACACCCAAGACCATTGAGAGTGCCTGGTGCTTCTGAACAATCGAATGGGCTAACCCATACATGACAGTTACTTTTCGCATGTGATAATGTTTAACTTAGAAATATAACTACTCATTAGTAGTCAAAAGCTAAAAATATAAAAACTGAAAATAGATGCTGATACAGGACACCATAACCTATACGGTATCATCACCGTCAGTCGAGCTGGGGATTTTAAAACAGCAGTGTAACTTAGGAAGTTCAGACGAATCTGAGGGTGAGTTCTAACAAGGAGGTGAGGATAGATTTATACATACGTTGAGAAACTGCTTCAACCCTATTATGTCTCATCAGTAGTGTGAATTAATTACCTAAACTACGGACCGAACTCTGTAGCTCAATACGCTGACCATCCGTGTAATCTACAGTGGCTGGAGTAAATACAATTCTGACGGGATTCACAGATCTGGTGAAGAATGCATTACTTCTGCCCTCCAACATGTGATCAAGTAATAGTGTTGTGATTTCTGTCAAATTTCACTAGTTTGTGGTTTGCTGGGCGCGATTGTACAGTTAAATATGTCCAGAACGCGATTATGCTGAATTTTAGGGTGAGGGATAACAGCCGAAAAAATATCGATCATTCGAATGCAAGGGACAGGTAGTCACGTGTACGAAGAATCTATGCAAAATTCGACAGCTCAGCAGAACCAGTAATGAACACAGACATACCGACTACGGAATGACATTCGCAACCAGCTTGGCAAGTCGATCGGAAAAAGTTCAATCAAGTATCGGTCGGAACATCTAAACCGTCCAATATAACAGGGGAACCAAGAATCAGGGTTTTGTATGTGTTTGTGAAAGAGAGATCGAGGTATTTAAGGGAACCAAACTAATATTTTGTCTTTGATTTTCTTGCAAAATCAACTTAGTGTTTGTTTGTTTGTGTGACAAAATTAGACTGGAAAAATTAGACCCAACAAAGTTCAACTGAGTTTGATTTGCTCAAAAGAATTTACATCTTTTTTTTAAGTTAACTGTCGTGACTGAAACTAAACAAATACTGGCTGATTCAACATTATGTTTCTCTATTACCATTTCGCTGTTGTTGTTGTTGTTGTTTTTCCCCATGAACTCCCGGTTCAGGCAAAGTGTGGTCGTACATTCATGTATGTTGGGTATTCTAGTCCCAGATGCCACTCCACCGTGCAACAAAATTGCCAATATCATGGTGTATTCGGCAACGGAATTTTCTATCTATTGGAGAGTACCAACTTCAATCATTGGTACTAATATGCAACTGGTGGATAATCGAGGAGGTGAGTTCATAGATAATTTGATGTAATTTTTGGTTGAATCTGTTTAGTTTCGGTCTCATGCACTAAACGGGATAGATGAAAAACAGAACAGACGAGCTATTTATTTTTTTAGCAAATTACTGGTGACGATGGGGATGAAGCGAATGAAGCGCTCCAGGCTGTACGGTTTCAAGTTGAATCCTGTTGGTGGCATGAAACGGCATTCAGCCTCTCTCTATCATCATCTGGCTCAGTAACGGGTTGATCGGATTCGGGTCCACTTCAGTCAACCAATCCAAGTCGTAGATTTCATAGTCGACTAGCGGTCATCGGTGAATTTCGGGGTTAGCTTTGCCTATTTTTCCTCATCTTAATTCGTTAAATAACAACTTAAGGTGAAGATTTGATTTCAGAGGACATGCCAATAGTCCCCTTTCTCGTCCCAATCGAATTTTGTTGCTACGGCTAGCGCAAGAGATGCCATGAGAACTAATCCGGTCGGTACTTTTGTTTTGCGGTTCGCTACGAGGATGATCAGATTTTGTGCGAGCGATGCACACGAGAGGAAATTAGTCAGTTTTGTTGAAATGACTTGCTATGAATCGGTCCGGTCTCATCTGACCCAGATTTGAACTGTAAAGCTTGATTTGTACGTTTCCATTAGTTTATTCTGAGCTAAAAAGTGCTGTGCGTTGAAACTGATTGAAATAGATCGGATCTAAACAGATCCAGCAGATATTTAGTTCCGTTAGGAAGAGATTGATATATGAAGCACAGTGCGTGGTGTTGAGTTACCATGGTGTTAAATAGGCTTAAGGTTGCACTATACCCAGGACCATGATATCTATGTAAGGAAACGAAACGTGACGCCAAAGTGACCACTGTCAAATGCAAAGGAAGTTTGAGAATTAACTATGTGTTATATAAATAATTTTTGCTTTCATTACGTTCGAATTAACAAATACAAGGGTTTATTATTGATCTTGCTGGAGTCTGATGCCCTGGGAAACACAGACTCTGTATTTGTAAATGTGCATGTGGTGAAGAACGGGTCATGCATGTGTGTGTGTGTGTGGACCGTTGGCCTCGAGGCTAGGAGTTGCTTATCACAAGCCGAAGGTTCCTGGTTCGAGTCCCGACGAGGGGCTTGAAGACGATATGTACTGTTGATTAGAGACAACACGGACAAAACAGCTGTCCAGTTTTCTTTGTTGGCTGTCATTTTAAAATATTTATGTACCTCAACAATCTGTCCGCCGTGGTGTACCTTGTTTATTGACAGAAACAAGAAGAGAATAAAGAATGTTACGTAGAAAGCATCACACGACTAATTCCTATTGTCCGAAGAGGTTTGATCCTAAAACAGAACATTAGAAATCTCGATCATTTCATCATAACGATAACCGATTCCAAGTCAGATCGTGTGTATGTGTGTGTGTGTGTGTGTGTGCGTGCGTGCGTGTGTGCGACCCCGGTAATCCTCCTCATTTCCCCCCTCCCCCTTCATCCTGCAGGTGTTTACACCTATGTGGCAACACCGGGTGCTCGGACAAGTGAAAGACACAACAAGACGGTAATCCTACAGGATTCACTGCTGATTGGACGCAGTGGCCTACAGGATTGCTCAGACGCCCCTCGACCGGAAGTGATCAGCAAATCTAGCAAACTGACTGGAATCTACTCACCACAAATGGGTCATGTTGGGATAGTTAGTGCGCAGTTCCTCAGTGGCGCTTTTGACACTTCCCTAATGGGTTTTGTCAGCTGGTCTACGGAGTTCTCGCTGGGTGGTGGTGCTTTCGTCAAAAGTAATTATTTTATTTGCGATCATTTTAAGTCACTCGTCATCTTCTAAGTGTGTCAGCAAACAACGGTAGCTGAAATGAACTGACTGACCGGTTTTCCCCAGCAGTTGGCGGAAATTCAGAAACCAGATGGTTAACTAAAAGTTTGATCTCGTCGTACGCTCACAACAGGGCTTTCTCTTTACCTTGGTGCTCAAGGCTCAAAGCGAACGTTACGGGTTTGAGCCCCGACAAAAAAGAGAAACCGAATAACCTGCACAGCTTCAGAGTCACCCCCCACCCAAAAAAAAATAAAAGAGACAAAGTAGCTGCCCAGTACTTTTTATCATCCATGAAATGATATAAGTTATCTTTTACAAAAATTCATTCAATGAATATCATAGCCACATATTCTTCCACCATCAATTGGATGTATTGGGGTGATCCACTGGGGCCAAACTTCGCGTGTATTGTTCGGTGTTCGGTGTCCGAGTTTTTTCCAATTTTGAGCGAATGTCTGTCTATGCAGAAGGCGATGAAATTCATCATTATTCTGACTGGTCTTCCTTGTGTATTTATTGATTGTAGAAACGTACAACAAACTTTCAGGAGGGACCGGGGTCATGAAAAAGCTACCTGAGGAAATACAGAAATGGTGGTCGGGTGCAGGCAGCGGGGTTCGAACTCACGACCTCCAGGTGGCTACCTTAGTGACTTTACCACCTGAACAACGTCGCCTAAAGGGAATGTAGCAGAATCATTCCCTTGCAAATATCATCTAGGCTGAACAAATATTCATAATGCGTCCAATCCCGAACATTTTCACAGAGAACTGTCTTTGCTTGGTAGAGAGTGAATGTGAACTTATTAGAATAGCGCATCTTTGACCGGATTCAAGTTTCCTATGAGTTTTCTAACCGTTTGGCACGCCAAAAGACAAAACTTCATTTTGCGCAATAATTTTCTGGATCGCCAGGAGGAGACTTGTCCATGGCGGAAAAAGCGATCTGCGAGTTCTAAACAGCCATGCAAATAGGTGCAGTTGCCGAAGTGCAGGCACTTACGTGTACACATTTTTTGCGTTAGCTATTGATACAGTCTTGCGAAAATAGGAGATATGAGTCAGCTATTGGGCGACCTGAGCGTACCACTCTGGAACCACCAATTCGTCAGTATGGAT